CATGATGACCGATTGAAGCAAGAACTTGATGTAGAAATACCAGTGCAAATATCAATTTGATTATTCGACTGTCAGCTATCAGCTGTGACAGTTCCAAACAGTGTTATGGCTTAGCATAACAATAACATAAACGATATGTTTAATAGGAATGTTTTAACATAGTGCCACAGTGACTCAAGTGATATGTTAATAGGAATGTATTAACATCAATCGTACTGTTAACCAAAATGCGTTAACAGCGGTGGGGTAGCAGCTATGTGCTAGCAGATGAGTACTGTATTAGCAGGAATGTGCTCACACTACAGTACGTCCAGTGCTATGTTAATAGGAATGTATTAACACCAAAATGGTAGCAGCTCTGTGCTGCAGGTAGTGTGCTATACTGGAATGTTCTCAGGCTACAGTAACTATAATGCGCTTGTGTCTTTATTCAACGGTTTCACCTTTTGAACTCCCCCTGCTAAATGTGTGACACGCATAGCAATGGTATGACGAAATGTAGAGAATGACAAATGATGTAAAGGGAGAGAGAATTTGCGTTGCCAGACTACAAACTTAGTTACACACAAATCGTTATGTTCAAATTTAACACTTCAAATAATTTCATTACTTATAAACTATTCTCCTCCAACACTAAGTATGTACCTATGTACAACGGCCGCTAGCGACGGCTTCACCAGTGCAGCAACAAAGCAAGTACAGAAGAAATTAAGCACCGGCGACTTAGCGCAGTGCAGTGACCTTTTCCATACACTGATTTGGCAAATTTCTAACCAACGTTTGGTTATGTGCTTATATATTCTGAATGTACGAGTATATACATATATATGTATGTATAGGATAGCAAGAAATAAATAAATGCAATTTTCTACGCAATTATATTTATGTATGCATGTTTTCTTTTAAACTTTATTTATTGTATAAAGCTCCAACAGCTGTGCGTAAGTATTTATATTATTTATATTTATATTTCTTTAAGCGAGATGCCGACTGCCAAATAAATCACGGTCCACTCTATTTGCTAAATTTACAAATGAGTATAGCATATAAATTTATTAGTGAGTTGCACAAATTTATATGTGTATATATATTTAGCCACTTGTATGTATGTACATATGTGTCGCAACTTGGCGTTTAAATACACACACAAGTCGACAAATGTGGCCGCAATTTATTTTTCGCACTCATTACCTGATGTAAACTTCCCTGAAAATTGTGGCAATTCATCGGTTTGGAATGTAGCCAAACGTCCAATTGTCCAGAAGAACACCGCCAATAATCTCGCGCAGATCGAAGACACCAGTAGGACCAGTCGACACCACCACGACGGTAATCGCAAGTCGAAAGCCGAGCCGATGTTAGATCCAACGAGGGAGTAGACTCCAGTAGTCCACCCGGGGGCGCCAAAATGTTCGGCTTTAAGCCGGTAACTGGCCGGTATGGCAAAAACGAAAGGTTCACAAAATTATGTAAAAGAAAGACTAGTGTCTTTCTACGCGATTTATTGGCTCAAAGAATAACACATTCGCACAGCTCGACTTCAATATTACAAGTGTCTTTAATTGTAGCGAAGCTACATACAATACAACGGCCGCCGCCGTAAGCACAACATATGACGGCAATTGCAATTATGCTGCGCACAGGCAGCTGCAGTGTACTCTTAACTAATGCGTTGCATTCAATTATAATTCTCTTACATAATCTAAAAACTAAGTAAAATGCCTTTACAGTAGGCTATTCAAATCACTTTTAATTTTATCTAAGAAAATTGTATGCTTTGTGACTAGTACTACATTAATTTATAAGAAATGTTCTTGTCATACTAGGAACTAATAAACAAATAAATAAATAAATGAATAAAGAACAATTCTAAACATATGTACAGAATATTTCAAAGTTGGGACGCCCGACTTTAGCTTCCCTTTTTATACCCTGTACCCGTAGGGTATTGTGCAAAGTATGTAACAGGCAGAAGGAAGCATCTCCGACCCCATATTCTTGATCAGCATGACAAGAGAAATCGCTCTGGACATGTCCGTCCGTCTGTCCGTCTGTCTGGATGAACGCAAGCATCTCAGAAACTATAAAAGCTAGATTAACTAAAGTTGGTATCCAGATTCTCCGAGGTCCGAGAGAGGACGAGTTTATTTTATTTTTTTGAATTTTCCCAGCCTTTCCCCGCTACAGAATTTTGTCAATGCTGTCCACATTTCAAAAGCTACATAAACCAAACTCTGCACACGCAATCTATGTAAAGTCATCTACTTTAGTTTAATTGTATCCAATTCAGTCAATTCTAAGAAAATTATTAGCGAAACAAATTCTCTCCAGTACAACCCCCTCAAAGTGTTGCAACAAGTTCGCTCTAATAGAAGGAGGCGTGGGAGACCCCACAAAGTATATATATACTTGATTAGGGTGACAAGTCGAGTCGATATAGCCATGTCCGTCTGTCCGTCCACCTGTCCGTCTGTATGAGCGCAAGGATCTCAGAATGTACAATAGCTAGAATGACCAAACTTTGTATCCAGGTTCCCCTAAGTCCTAGGCAGGCCAAGTTTGTTTTTTATAGCCTGTACCCAAAGGGTGAAAGGCTATACTAGTTTTGTGCGCATGTATGTAACACACGGAAGGAGGCGTGGCAGACCCCACAAAGTATATATATTATTGATCAGGATGACAAGACGAGTCGATATAGCCACGTCTGTCTGTATGAGCGCAAGGATCTCAGGAAGTACAAAAGCTAGAATAACCAAACTTGGTATCGAGGTTCCCCTAAGTCCTAGGCAGGTCAAGTTAATTTTTTTTTATTCTGATACACCCCCCACTCCCCTGCAATTCGTGTTTTTTCCATAACTCACGTAGTTCTTGGAATTTCGAACTAAAATTAGGTAGCTAGATCCCGTTAGTGATTATGTGTCTGTATACCAAGTTTCATCATGATAGGTCAATTCCGAAGAAAGTTTTAGCCATAAATAAAATCGCTGCTCATGCGCTGCCTGCAGCGCTGCCCGCAGATTTTGTTGTTTTTGCTGCTTTGGTTCAACTTTGTGCTGCATACATACACGCATATAAACACACATAGGTACGTGATGTAAATGTATGCTGTTAAAACTGAACATAAACATGTTTTATAATTTAATTAAATTAATTAATTAATTCATTCATTTTTTTTTTAATTTTTTCTTTTTTTTTAATTTTCATTTTTTTTGTGGAGAGTACAGGCTATTTTACTGTCGGGCTTGCTCGACTGTAGCGTTCTATCTTGTTATTATTTCTCTTTTTCCCCGGTTTTTTATACTCTGTACATAAAATGTACAAGAGTATATTAGGTTTGCGCGAGCTGAAAAATGTAACAGGCAGAAGGAGGCGTGGCAGACCCCACAAAGTATATATATTCTTGATCACCATGACAAGACGAGTCGATTTATCCCTGTCTGTCTGTCTGTCCGTCTGTCCGTCCGTCCGTCCGTATGATCACCTAGATCTCAGAGACTATAAGAGATAGATACACCAAATTTTGCACAAAGATGCCTTATGTGTGTACGCTATACGAGTTTGTTTTATTTTTTTTGATTTACCGGAGATTTGATTTTCGGAGACCATATAACCTAGAGACACAAAATTTTAGTCCAAGATGCCTTATGTGAATACGCAGAAAATGTATATTTTGGAATTTCCCTCCCTCCCCCCTCTCCTCCGAAAATCGCGATTTTCTCTAACTCCCGTAATTCTTGGAATTTCGAACTAAATTTTGGAAATACCCCCAGTTGGTTATTATGTGTCCGTATGCCAAGTTTCACTATGATAGACCGATTTAATAAGAAGTTTTAAGCTGTAAATATATTTGCTGCTGCAGCGCTGCTCAAGCGTTCTTGTTCTTGATGCTGGTGCTTTGGTTGACTGCACACATGTTTACACATTATACATACACTCACACAGACGCAATTGCTATGTAAATGTGCGATTATACACCATTTACGTGAGTTCGAATACCGAGAAAGGTAAAATCGATCAACATTTTTTTTATTTTTATTTTCTTAATTTTTTTTATTTTCTATAATTATTGTAAACATGTGTACAGAGTGTTTCAAAGTCGGGACACCCGACTTTAGCTTTTTTACTTGTTTTTTTTTGCTTTTGGACTGTATCACAGCAGTCGTTTTTAACCTAGAAAAGTGAGGTTGTAATGTGAAATTAGTCTGGTTCACAACAAATTTATGTAAGGTGAGAACAGATGAGGTTGCACGCCAAATTTGTTTACTGTACAGAGATGTAATGTACACACAATAAGACACGTATAATGTACAACCATACACATTCTATGGGCTGACGTTGTTGGGGGAGAGGGTCGGTGCGGGATACATTGACGGCGGCTAGCAAAACAGCCTGTGGGATGGTTCTTGACCGTACACTCCATCAACACCCTCATCATCAGCAATACCTTCTTCAAAGCTAACCAGATGGTGTGGTTGCTACGCTCTCTACCCACCCTACCAATGATTTTTCCATTGTGCGTTATTTTAAGAAAAATCCCAAGAAGAGGCTACTTCGCCTGCCTTATCCCTTTACATTAGGAAAAATATATTTAAATTCACAAAGTCATAGTTATTTTATTCAATATATAATGAAAAATACTAAATTCCAATTAAACTTCATTCTTTTCCATTTATAAAATTCAAGTAATCATAACGTAAATAAAAGAAAAACATAATCAAACTAAAATTAAAGGTTAATATTCATCAATAGCACATAAGAGTTGATAAACCAAAGTTATTCTGCATAAGCAAGAGTAATTCATAGTTGCGATATAAGTTTGTTTCCTCAAAACAATGAAAAATGATATCAGAGTATACCGGTTTAAAGAAAAAGCAATAATTCATGCATAAATATATCTAGTAATAAGCATAAGTGCATCGAGAGCAAAAATAAAAATATTATTATCAGTCGCTAGTAAAACAGTTATACCGAACTGTATCAGCAATTAGCAATAAAAATCAAAACAAACTTTGAAACTAAAAAGCTGTGATGCTGGGCATCATATGTTTAATCGTTGACGAAAAGCTTTCAAGGGCATTGACCCCAAAACTTTAAAAGCCGTACTTTTATATATTTGAAATTTACTTATTAACCTGTACACTTGATGATCGAAAATAAGCAAGAAATAGATATGCAAGTTTGACTGACCCTCTGAAAAATCCGATGAAGGCCTCCATGGTTTCCAGATGTTGCTGTGTATGTTAGTATGGGATCAAAATTAATTTATACAAGCAGTACTATTTCAACACTTTCGATCTCCAATAAAAAAAAATAAAAAAAATTAAGATATTAATATTTCCAAACTCAGCACTTATTGAGTTGCAAATGCCTGCTCTAATATATATGTATGTATGAATTAATTATATGCCTATGTAAGAGGCTCTCTTACTTTTGAACTTTTGATAAAGAAAAACTTTTGCTTTTGCACAAACCAAAATACAGTTACTTTAAACAATTGCTATTAATAGCTGATGCTTAGATAAAATTATGCCAATAAAGTTGGACTTTGTACTTGCGCTGTACATGCAATTTGTAAGCACAGGGTCTCTGCTTTTAGGTTAAGCATGCAAAAATTCGTAATATTGATATTTCTGCCTGAATTTTAAAGAAACCAAATTCGTTAACGTTAGTACACATATACGAGTATATGTGGCTCTTTCTCCTGGTTTTTGGAGGGCACTGGAGTCTTTGTAAAAGTCGAGTTCTCTCCGCCGCTGCTGCTGCTACGTTTGCTGCCTATTGAAATTCTGCCTTGTCGCTAATTTCTGCATTCAAATTCCAGCTTCGCCTGATTATCTGACGGGATGAATCCAACGTTTAATTGTGGATGAGCCGACCAAGACAATAGCTCTTGTCGCCATACAACCTTATAATTTTTGGGAACATATATTAGCATCCAATTGGTTGCGTCATTATAGTCACACTTACAATATTCTTTGAAGCAAAAAATAATCCAAAATGGAACAGATAAACGCTGTGAAATGGTGATCTTACAAGGTTTTAATAAAGCCTCCTTGAGGATGGCTTCTCAATAGCACGATTTGCACACGAAAATATACACGTGTTTCACTTTTAATAATTTAAACAAAATTTATTGCAGCTAAATAAAGCACAACTGATCGTGCCAGCGGTCAGAACAGAAAGAGGTCGAGTGCAGGAAGTAATTAAAGTCGTAGCCTATGTTTCAACTATTGACAGCTGTCTGACAAGCTTAACAGAGCTTTGTGTCAAATGCATATCAGTGTTAACAAGACCTTGATGCCTTTACCAAAGTGGTTTGAAGCTTCGCTAGTACCACTGTTAAATTTTGAATTGCTACTTGTATAATAATAATGAACATTTGCCGATGTGCATATGCCACTGTTCACTACACCCTGGATAATTCGGCCATTCTTAATGAGAAGAATTAGACTGAAAAAAGAACAGTTATTGACGTATATCTTTAGCATGGTAAGTGCCAACTAAGCATCCTTGTAGGCCTTCAAGCACGTAAAATGCATTGCCTAACTTTTCCCGTATTCTAGACTTTATCCAAGCTGGGCTAAGTTTCGCATTAAAGTTCTTTTGAAAATTGCTCTGTGCAAAACTTCTTCTAAATACTTCTTGTCCAATTTTAAAATGTATTTCTCGAGTTCTTAAATTTTATTGTTTTGCATTTTGTTCATAAGCCTGTCTTAGGTTCTGTTTTATCTCTTTTCGAATTAATTTTAGCTGATCATCTTTATGCAGCTTACATATAGGTTCATCTAGTAGATTAAGACGACATAATAGGTCATATTGAGAGCCATGAGTAACCATATCTAATCCGAACAACGAATGATAAGGAGAAAACTGTGTACTCTGATGTACAACTAATCGCGTCTATATGCTGATCCCAATCTCGCTGATCTTCGTTGAGGTATGCTCGCATCGCTGCAATTAACGAACGATTAACTCTTTCTGACGCATTGGATTGCGGCGAATAGAGAGCAGTATAAACGTGTTTAATTCCTAATGAAGTTAGCCATGAATTGAAGGTATTTGCTTTAAATTGTGACCCATTGTCACTAACAATAGTTTCTGGCACACATATGTAAAAAATATCTTCTGCAAGAAATCCTGAATACTCTCTGTTGAAAATTTATTTAATGGACAAAGCCAATGAAATTTCGACATATGATCTAACACAATCAGTAATCCTTTATAACCGCGCTTACTTCTAGGATAGGGTCCAAGTAGATCAATATAAAGACGTTGAAACGGCCGTTCAGAAACAACTTGTTTACCCATAGAAGGTTTTAACGTTACATTTGGGGATTTTGTACATTTACACACTTCGCATTCACGAATATAGTCACGCACTTGCGAAACCATTCCTGGCCAATAAAAATTCCTGCGGATTAAATCCAAAGTCTTTGCTATACCACCGTGCGCTGCAACAACAGAATCATGAGCACGTTTAATTACTTCGATGGTCAGACCTTTCGGAATCCATAATTTCCAAATTGCTTTTTGAATAGGGTCATCACCACTATCATGCTGCGTACGTATGTACACATAACCGTCAACTATACGTACATCAGGGTATTTTGATTCATTTGCCAAAATATTGCCTTTCAAATTTTGATATTCCTCATCATCAAAACATGGAGAATTAAGATCAATTTCTGGACCAACATCTTCTAACTCTGCTACTTCGTCAGAATACATTCGAGAAAGGGCATCTGGAACTATGTTATCACGTCCTTTCCGATGACTTACGCTGAACCGATATCCCTGCAGTAGCATGGCCCATCTTGCCATTCTGCCTTTGAGATTGGATTGTCTCATAAGCCAAACCAGGCTTGCATGGTCTGTTATAACTTCAAACTCTTGAAGTTCTAAGTAACAACGAAATCGCTGAATAGCCTCTAGCGCTGCTAAACATTCACGTTCCGTGACACTATAGTTACGCTGAGCTGAATTTAATTTTCGTGACATAAAAACGACTGGCTTTTCTGTGCCGTCTTCAGAAATTTGTACTAAAACAGCACCTATTCCATAATCGCTTGCATCGCAATGTACGTAAAATTTCTTTGTAAAGTCGGGATTTTGTAATACTGGAGCAGAAGTTAACTTTAACTTTAGTTGATCCATAGCCTTCTGAGCTTCTTCTGTCCATACGAATTTCTTTTTATGTGAAAGCAGTTCTGTTATAGGAAAAACTATATCGGAAAAATTTTCGATAAAGCGTCGGTACCAACCTGCTAAGCCTAAAAACCCTCGCAGTTGCTTCAAATTTCTCGGCGGAGGCCAGTTCATTATAGATTCGATTTTCTTGGGGTCTGTAGCAATACCACCATTTCCAATAATATATCCTAAATAGCGAACTTCAGTCACACAAAAATTACTTTTGGAAATATTTAATGTTAGATTCGCCTTACGAAATTGTTCAGACAGGCGCATTAACACTGCTAAATGTGAATCAAAATCTTCGGAAACTACACACACATCGTCTAAGTATCCGAATACACAATTCTTAAGATCGGGGGGGATAATTTGATCCATTAGACGACACATCGTCTGTGGTGCATTACATAAGCCGAATGGCATAGTAACAAATTGATAAAGTGGCCGTCCAGGGATAGTAAATGCTGTTAGGGCTTTCGATTCCTCTGTTAGAGAAATTTGCCAGTAAGCATCCTTCAAGTCAATTTTAGATATTATTTCAGCCCTAGGTAATCTTGCAAGAATTCCATCTATATTGGGGAGCGGATAAGCATCCTATTTTGTTAATTCATTTATTTTTCTCGCATCTAAACAAAGTCTAACTTTGCCGGGCTTTATTACTAGACGCATTGGGGAACTCCATGCACTAGTTGATTCCTCAATGACACCAAGAGAAAGCATTCGATCCACTTCACTATACATCAGCTTTTCCACCGCGGGTGAGACTGGATAAAAACGTTGTTTTACAGGCTTAGATTCGCCAACATCTATACTGTGTGAAATAATTGCTGTTCTGCCAAGACCTTGTTGTTCGAAGTTTGGAAAAAGCGAAACCACTGCCTCTAATCGTCTGTGTTGATCTGCCGATAAGGGATAAGCATTTGAACTTTCTGCAGTTTCAACAATAGAATCAATCGCTGACACCAGAGCTGGGGCTAAACCAAAAACCTTCCAAAAATCAATTCCTAAAATAACTTTTTTATCTAGTGAAGGAACAATAAAAAACTTGATTTGTTTTGATAAACCATTATAGGACACATCTGCTAATACAAATCCTATCACGGGATGATTTTTTTAATTTGTGAAGTAATCTTTCTAAATTGGGTATATTTTTCCCAGTTACCTTTTGCCAATGCTGCGCCAAGACAACTAATGTTTGCGCCGGTGTCAAGTAAACCTTGTTCTACAAAGTCTAAAAATGAAACTCTGGCATAAAATCTTCCATCAGATGACTCATTCACCAAAGCCGACACTAGCATCTTTTTAGTTCGCCGAACACTGTGACAAAACCTGCGTAATCGCCTCGTAGAACGTCTTGGTCTACGTCGTATATATAAACTATCATTAAAAATTTTCGCACGAGCATTTATATAATTTTGGTAGCGCTCATGATATGGTTTGATTGGAGTTAAGATTGGGGTTGTTTTGTTATTATTTGGGAGAATAGTTGTACGATCTGATTTATCTGGGATATTTTTAGCCGCTGTGGTGGACAACATTGAAGATGGTGTTTCCAGCGGGCGTTGTGTAAATAAAACAGCATCTCCTATTGGGCCACCCGACTGCTGCCGGCGGACTGACCCTTCAACAGGTTTTCCGACTTTTTCCCTAAACAAAAACTGCACTGCGGCTTATAAATATTCTTCGCTCCGCAGCCATAGCAAAATATGTTCCGAGCTTGGAGGCACATATCCCAAGTGTGGCCTTCTTCGTCACAATTCCAACACTTGTAAGGTTTCTTGAAAATGGTAATAGCATTTACTGATACAGATGGTTCTTCTGAATTCAACTTACTCACGCTTTCACTTATCTCCGAAATCTGCCTTTTCACTGGTACTGTATTAGTTTTAACTTTGCTACGTCTGAAATCTTCTTCCTTTAACAAATTCTCTCGCATCTGAACCAGTTGACGCAAATGAGCAACTGAATGGACGGGAACATAGAGTAACTCATGACGTATTTCCGGCCTCAGATTCCTTTTAAGTCTTTTGATGAGCCGATGCTCATCTATTGGTACTGCCAACCGAGATATCAGATCGACAATATCATCATAAAATGCGTCGAACGTTTCACCATATTTTTGCTTACGCGCTCGAATTTCCTCACGTAAAATATCTTCGTCTCTGCAATCGCGATACTGATATTTAAGCGCCTCGCAAAAGCCTTGCCATTCAATCTGATCTACCTGCTTTCGATACCGCCAATACCAATCCCTAGCTTTACCTATCAACAGAATATGAAGATTTTTACAGAGATAGGAAAAATTATTATTTAAACTATCTTCAGTTAGTGCACGAATTCTGTATAGAAACTCTTGTACTGTAGGACCTTTTGTTGATCCATCAAATCGAACATTCCAACTTTGCACGATTTGGGTCACCTTTTCCGGACTAAGTGAAGACATAACATTCGATCTTACGGATTGTCTAACTTCATCTGTGCGAATTATTGTTCTTTCCGACGCATGATGAGCTTGAGAGCTTGCCGAATGGCTTGACAAATTTAAACTTGAAAATCGTCTGTCAATAAGATCCTCTAGTTTGTCATAAATTTTTTCATAATCAATAGTATTTGCTGAAGCTCTTTCAAAGTGTACAGGAGAGCCTCGCCTATCATGTCTTGTAGTTCTACCTACTCTAGGTCGACCTCTGTTGCCTTTACTTAATTTAACAATTCCTGCTTGTTGCTCTTCATTATAAACTTGCTTCAGGGTTTGTGTTGGTGCTTCCAAACATTGCGTTTGATCAGCAAACGTATTTTTTATCTGTTCTTTTGATCTACCTCTTGTGTTATGCCTTGCATACTTTGCATTCGCTAACATTAGATATCCAGTCCGTAATACATGGTCTATGAAAAGCATGATTGCATTTAGAAACAACTACATCCTGTGTTTCTAATAGTGGTTCACTGCAAATTTCGCATCTAGCTTCGAGCACAGGCTCACTTACTGGAAGACTCGCAATATCCTCCCAACTTCTTACTGGCATATTTACCAAATAATTAAAATTTTTTTTTTTTTTTTAAATAAACAAAAATTTATATAGATGACTAAAAAAAAATCTATGTTGTTTCTCCTAACGATATTTAAGGGATAAGAAAGGTGAAGGAAAAAAAATGCTGTTTTTGGCTATTGTAGATTTTAAGAAAACATAATCATTTTTCAATAGAATAACTGCAAAAAGAGAAACATGTTTCTTTTCCAAGAATTCACCAGCACAAGTTAAGTCAATGAACTTTTCCAAGCGGACTGTGAATTGGTCACTCGCCAAAACGCAATTTCCCATTCTTATCAAAGAACCTACTCAACAAAACTTATGAACCTTACGGAACGAAAGCATGTAACGACACAGTATAGGACAACAAATATAAGAAAGAAAAGAAAAGAAAAAGAAGAGGAAAGAAAAAATAAGATACAAGATTAACCACTGTCCTCAGGTCAGAAATTTGGTCACTGCCAAAAGTTATGATTTCCATAAGGAAGAAAGCTAAATTTAATTTATGACACTTTCGAACACTCTTTATCTATCTTCGGGTCAAAGATTTGGACCTCACCAAAAACTATGATTTCCACAAAGGAGAAAACAATGCCTTTTTTACATGAAAATGACAAATAGAAGCATACCAGCATGAAAACGTAGAAAAATGTAGATCGGTCGATATTTTGAACACGCGCCAAAAGTCGATTTCCGTATGTCCCATCTTCCTATGCAAACTAGTAGCTAGAGAAGAAAAGATAGTAGAAAATAGGGAAAAGAAGATTCACTTATGCCTCACGTTCGTCTGAAATCATCTAACTGCCTCGGCCCCACGTTGGGCGCCAAATTATGTAATGTGAAATTAGTCTGGTTCACAACAAATTTATGTAAGGTGAGAACAGATGAGGTTGCACGCCAAATTTGTTTACTGTACAGAGATGTAATGTACACACAATAAGACACGTATAATGTACAACCATACACATTCTATGGGCTGACGTTGTTGGGGGAGAGGGTCGGTGCGGGATACATTGACGGCGGCTAGCAAAACAGCCTGTGGGATGGTTCTTGACCGTACACTCCATCAACACCCATAATACATAATTAATTTATAGAGATCCCTATGCCTGGTACATAGAAAAAAAAAGAGAGTTGGGGCGGCACTTGCAATAGGCTAACAGTCAAAGAAAGAAAAAAGAAAGACAATGAAAAGAATCGGAAAATGTATTAAGAAACAGCAATACCTTCTTCAAAGCTAACCAGATGGTGTGGTTGCTACGCTCTCTACCCACCCTACCAATGATTTTTCCATTGTGCGTTATTTTAAGAAAAATCCCAAGAAGAGGCTACTTCGCCTGCCTTATCCCTTTACATTAGGAAAAATATATTTAAATTCACAAAGTCATAGTTATTTTATTCAATATATAATGAAAAATACTAAATTCCAATTAAACTTCATTCTTTTCCATTTATAAAATTCAAGTAATCATAACGTAAATAAAAGAAAAACATAATCAAACTAAAATTAAAGGTTAATATTCATCAATAGCACATAAGAGTTGATAAACCAAAGTTATTCTGCATAAGCAAGAGTAATTCATAGTTGCGATATAAGTTTGTTTCCTCAAAACAATGAAAAATGATATCAGAGTATACCGGTTTAAAGAAAAAGCAATAATTCATGCATAAATATATCTAGTAATAAGCATAAGTGCATCGAGAGCAAAAATAAAAATATTATTATCAGTCGCTAGTAAAACAGTTATACCGAACTGTATCAGCAATTAGCAATAAAAATCAAAACAAACTTTGAAACTAAAAAGCTGTGATGCTGGGCATCATATGTTTAATCGTTGACGAAAAGCTTTCAAGGGCATTGACCCCAAAACTTTAAAAGCCGTACTTTTATATATTTGAAATTTACTTATTAACCTGTACACTTGATGATCGAAAATAAGCAAGAAATAGATATGCAAGTTTGACTGACCCTCTGAAAAATCCGATGAAGGCCTCCATGGTTTCCAGATGTTGCTGTGTATGTTAGTATGGGATCAAAATTAATTTATACAAGCAGTACTATTTCAACACTTTCGATCTCCAATAAAAAAAAATAAAAAAAATTAAGATATTAATATTTCCAAACTCAGCACTTATTGAGTTGCAAATGCCTGCTCTAATATATATGTATGTATGAATTAATTATATGCCTATGTAAGTGGCTCTCTTACTTTTGAACTTTTGATAAAGAAAAACTTTTGCTTTTGCACAAACCAAAATACAGTTACTTTAAACAATTGCTATTAATAGCTGATGCTTAGATAAAATTATGCCAATAAAGTTGGACTTTGTACTTGCGCTGTACATGCAATTTGTAAGCACAGGGTCTCTGCTTTTAGGTTAAGCATGCAAAAATTCGTAATATTGATATTTCTGCCTGAATTTTAAAGAAACCAAATTCGTTAACGTTCGTACACATATACGAGTATATGTGGCTCTTTCTCCTGGTTTTTGGAGGGCACTGGAGTCTTTGTAAAAGTCGAGTTCTCTCCGCCGCTGCTGCTGCTACGTTTGCTGCCTATTGAAATTCTGCCTTGTCGCTAATTTCTGCATTCAAATTCCAGCTTCGCCTGATTATCTGACGGGATGAATCCAACGTTTAATTGTGGATGAGCCGACCAAGACAATAGCTCTTGTCGCCATACAACCTTATATAATTTTTGGGAACATATATTAGCATCCAATTGGTTGCGTCATTATAGTCACACTTACAATATTCTTTGAAGCAAAAAATAATCCAAAATGGAACAGATAAACGCTGTGAAATGGTGATCTTACAAGGTTTTAATAAAGCCTCCTTGAGGATGGCTTCTCAATAGCAGGATTTGCACACGAAAATATACACGTGTTTCACTTTTAATAATTTAAACAAAATTTATTGCAGCTAAATAAAGCACAACTGATCGTGCCAGCGGTCAGAACAGAAAGAGGTCGAGTGCAGGAAGTAATTAAAGTCGTAGCCTATGTTTCAACTATTGACAGCTGTCTGACAAGCTTAACAGAGCTTTGTGTCAAATGCATATCAGTGTTAACAAGACCTTGATGCCTTTACCAAAGTGGTTTGAAGCTTCGCTAGTACCACTGTTAAATTTTGAATTGCTACTTGTATAATAATAATGAACATTTGCCGATGTGCATATGCCACTGTTCACTACAAGGTTAAGCTTATTGCGGTAATTGTGAAGCCGCATGCTTTTCGTCGTTACACTTTAACTCAGCTGTATCAAAGTTAAAGTTCACTGCACTGTAAAATATCATTGCTTTTACATTTATGTTGATCGTACACTGCGTATTTGCCACTTAATCACTTTAACACTTCTTTTCATTGGTTGAGCCCCCAAAATGTGTGGGACTGGGGTTATATTTAGTTATTTCCAAACGAAATGATAGTTTATTTGAATATAATATAGTTTATTTAAAATAGAAATGAACTTATAAAGTAAATGATGAAATAATATAAACTTGAAATTTGCGTATGTCGCATTTTTTCGTAGCTGAGAGCGTCGTTTTTCATGCACGTATTTTACACGTCGGTCGTCGTTCGTTGCCAACCTGCCTTTACCATCGTGTGCTTGTGGGAGGGTTGCCCATACGTCATTACCCGGGCATTCCCACATACATGTCATTAATGAATTCATAACCGATGTTGTTGTAGATTCAGAGGAGCATCTATACAGATTGTTATAAAATTGTTATATAAGTTAATACACATTATACTATTACCTGTAAACAACACTAAAATGTTAATTTTACCAAATTATTATTATTATTAATTTTACCAATTATACCATCTCAGCCCCTCTTGAGATTGCACCGCCTACAAGTTAGATTGGTTTAGGCGAGCTTCACTGTGTTGGCGCCTTTGGCTTGAGGATTCTGTAATTGACATTGTAGCTCAATGTTGCTAGTCGCCCAAAACGGAACATCAGCATTATGGCAGTATGTTGATGTTGCGACACTCTGGAATAGGGGCACCGTCGTCAGCTTGGCTTAGAATAATATAGAATAATATATACATGTAGGGGATATTATACTGATTATCCAAATTGGCCACTGTAGCTGCGGATAGAAAGTTTCTGGCGCCCGTTCTATTTTAATCAACACACACTTCGTATTATAATAGTATATAATATTGTAGTTTAAGCTTTATTGAAATAGTTTATATGTATTTAAAGTTAGTTTGACAATTGTTCATCTTCTGATTTCACTCTCATTTAATACTTCTTTTCGCGAGCACACACAACCTCTCTCTTCAATGATCGAGCTTACACTGACTTCTTTATTGCTCGTCGCTCTCGAGTACGCAGTTGTGTTTCATTCTCTCTATCCTAATTCCTGCATTCCTACATTCGGCCATCCAGCAGCCTCATTCGCCTCGAATGATGGACCCCACTTCTTCATATATTCAGCGACCGTACTTGTATGGTAGGGACCCTCATCATCCCCGATCTTCTCTACCAAATACCTGCCATGTCGCAATTTTCGAACTATTCGATAAGGCCCTAAATACTTCTTTTTTAACTTTAGTCCAGATCCAAACTGGGTACGCTTTATGGCCACCAAATCATTGAGCTCATATTCTGTTTCGCGTTTTCTATTCTTTTTGTATGTCCTACAGTTTTCCTCTTGCATTTTGGCAATGTTTTCCTTGGCTATATTCCGAATCTCGTCCTTTTCCTCTTGTAAATCATTCAACCACTTTTCCTCTAACATATTCTTGATTTCTTTGTCATATTCTGTTCTCATTTCTAAGTCGGTCAGTATTTTGAATGGAGATATTTTCGTACTTCTAGGAGGGGAGGAGTTAATATACTTTTGCACCCTTCCTACGTGCTTATACCAAGCCTGGGGATCTTCAGCACATAACTTCGTCAGCAAAGTCTTGACGATGCGGTTGATGCGCTCTACTTGTCCGTTATCGCGTGAAACTCCGGTGGCTATTAACAAATGCTGGATGTTAGTTGATTCGCAATACTGCTTGAATCTACTCGAAATGAAAGCGGATCCTCGATCAGTAACTACACATTTGGGATTTCCGAACAATTCAGACTGTTTGTACAATCGATCAATGACCTCACAATACCCGGTGCTTTTGGTAGGATACAACCAGACGAATTTGGAGAAGGCGTCTACTACAACGAGAATGTGCTCATATCGTTTCTTGGTTTGTTCCATAGGGCCAACATGGTCAATATGAAAAGTTGTTAATGGCCTATCTCCTTTATTTATGGCATTTAAGAATCCTTCTTTCTTCCCTGATTTTGCTTCATTTATTATATATTCTATGCAAGATTTTACTATGACATCAACTTTTCTGGCAAGACCTGGAATGTAGTATTCTCTCTCTATTAAGTCAGCTGTCTTGTTTTCGCCAAAATGTCCTTGGCGATGTGCCGTGGTGATTATTTCTCTTTCCATGTTAGACGGTATCACAATAAGTTCCTTTTGGTCTTTATGTAACACGCCATTATGTATATAATAGTCATCGTACGTTCCCTGTTCCAACACTTTAAAAATTGCATTTATCCATTCATCTAGAAGCTGTGCCTGCCTGATCTTATCCTTTAAGGAATCCTGCATTAGAAGACAATGGACCCTACTCAAAGCGTCGACATGCTTCATCCTTATCCCTGATCTATGCTCTATTTGATATTCAAAATCTTGAAGGAAGATTACCCAACGAGCTACTCTTTTCTGCATAGTCATTGCAAATGCATTGCAGTCGGTAACAATCGTGATTTTCATACCAAGTAAATACAACCTCCATTTCTTTAGTGCCTGAATTATGGCAAGAACCTCTAACTCGTACGACGGATATTTTGCCTCTGGCGGTGTCGTCTTTCGGCTCATGTATTCTACTGGGTGAAATCTCTGATCCTCAGAGTCCCTTTGCAACAAAATAGCACCATAGCCACACATGCTGGCGTCACAATGAACCTCAGTTACACCCTTTGGATTAAATAGTCTCAGCACAAGTGAGTCAGAAAGACATGCCTTTAATTGATTAAATGATGCTAACTCTTTTGGTCCCATTTTAAACAAAACGCTATCCTTCATCATGTTGGTTAATGGCCTAGCAACCGTGGCAAAGTCTCTAACAAATCTTCGAAAATAAGAAGATAAGCCCAAATAGCGTTGAAGCCCCTTCTTATCTCGTGGGATTGGAAAGTCGGCCACTGCCCTTGTTTTCTCTTTCGATATCTGGATTGTCGAGTTCTCAATTATGTATCCCAGAAATGCAACTGTACGCTTTAGAAACTGACACTTTTCCCATTTAATTTTTGTGGGAATCCAAGATGCGCCACAAATAGAGAGAGCAACAAGAAGTGGCCGACGCAACTAAATGTCGCTCTCATTTGTAGCTTTGCTCTCTTGCTATTGCATTTCACCATACTACTGGAAAGTTGCCAACAGAATCTCGTTTCGATCGCATCGTTGAACCATCGTCGTTTGTAAATTAAGTTAAGCCAATATATCCATTACCCACAACATTAACTATCGTTATTAAACGATATAATATAACCATAATATCATAAGCATATTGTCACCAAACAAACTATAATTAATATAATTCTATAATTCTGCCCAAAATAATTAATCACATAACACACATATGTAACACTGCGCTTACGACTTCGTGTTTTCCCGATACTTGGAAATTAGCCAAAATAATTCCCGTTCACAAGGGTAAGGATGAATACAGACCAATATCAATTCTGCCATTTTTATACTCTGTACATGAAATGTACAGAAGTATATTAGGTTTGCGCGAGCTGAAAAATGTAACAGGCAGAAGGAGGCGTGGCAGACCCCACAAAGTATATATATTCTTGATCAGCATGACGAGACGAGTCGATCTAGCCCTGTCTGGCTGTCTGTCCGTCTGTCCGTCTGTCAGTCTGTCCGTCTGTCCGTCCGTATGAACACCTGGATCTCAGAGACTATAAGAGATAGAGACACCAAAGATGCGTTATGTGTATATTCTATACGAGTTTGTTTTATTTTTCTGATTTTCCCCCCCACTTCCTCCCTATGGGGGTTTTCCCGATTTTCCATTCGTATAATCGCCTATATCTCGGAGACTATAAGACCTAGGAACACCAAATTTTAGTCCCAGATGCCTTATGTGAATACGCAGAAAATGTATATTTTGGAATTCCCCTCCCTCCCCCCTCTACCCCGCAAATCGTAACTCCCGTAATTCTTGGAATTTCAAACTAAAATTTTGCAAATATCCCCAGTTAGTTATTATGTGTCCGTATGCCAAGTTTCACTATGATAGACCGATTTAACAAGAAGTTATAGCCATAAATATATTTGCTGCTGCAGCGCTGCTCAAGCGCTGCCCGGGGCTGTTGTTGATGTTGCTGTTTGATTGACTGCGAAAATGCTTACACAGACACGAATAGATGCGCATAGGCATACATACACTCACACAGGCGCAATTGCTATGTAAATGTGCAATTATAAACCCTTTACGTGAGTTCGAATACCGAGAGAGGTAAAATCGATCAAATTTTTTTTTTATTTTCTTAATTTTTGTATTTTCTATAATTATTGTAAACATATGTACAGAGTATTTCAAAGTCGGGACACCCGACTTTAGCTTTTTTACTTGTTATCCATGGTTTTCGAAAATATTATGGCTAATCAAATCAATAAATACCTAGCACAACATTCATTACTGTGCAATAAACAATCTGGTTTTCGCAAATTTAGAAGTTGTACTACTGCCATACTAGACGTTACAGAAAATATTAGAGAGCAACTTGACGATAGTAATGTTACATTTTTGATGCTTCTAGACTTTAGCAAAGCTTTTGACACGGTAGATCATAATATCTTATGTACCAAGTTACACAAATTCTTTAATTTTACAAGCAAAGCTGTAAAATTAATATCGTCCTATTTACATGGACGAAGCCAAGCTGAGACAACCGATAGTGCTATATCAACATTTCTACTTGTAAAACGTGGAGTACCCCAAGGTTCAATCCTTGGTCCACTCCTCTTCTCGTTATATGTTAATGATCCCCCAGCCTCGTTGTCCAATTGCAGTGTTCATATGTACGCTGATGATGTCGAAATGTATGTTAGTTGTCCGTTACGTAGTATAAATGAGTGTGTGAATTTATGTAATGATGAACTGTCAAATGTTAGTAAATGGGCTAAGTGCAATGGCTTGTCACTAAATCCTGGAAAATCGAAATGCATTATAATATATAAAAAGTTACTTAGTACGGAAAATTTGCCTAAGTTATCACTCAATAACGCACAAATTGAATACGTGGATCATATTCTAAATTTTGGTATCACCTTCAACCGTTCTTTGTCCTGGAGTGATCACGTATCCAAGGCTGCAGGAAAAACTTATGGCTTACTCTAGAAACTTAATTATGATGCATAAAATTATATATACCAGAGAACCGGGCTATTTATTTGAAAAACTACGTTTTAGTGCATTCTCAAGAACCAATAATATAAACAGTATACGATACAATCTTGGCTGTTCTGAACGGCAGTTCTTTATTCATGCTATTCGCCTGTGGAATCAGCTACCTCAATATTTAAAGAAAATTAGTAGTGAATCGCAATTTAGGGAAAAATTAAATTTGTTCTTAAAAATAAGTAACTAACAACATAAAATATCTACAACATAATATAGTCTATTAGATTTAACTTCAATTTTATAAAATAGGTTAAGCAGGTTAATTAAACCGTCTTAAATTTGTTTAATGAAAATTGTATGTTTCTAGTGACTAGTGCATTAATTTATAAGAATTTATTTCTTGTTGCACTAGGAAATAATAATAATAATAATAATAAAATAATAATAAATAAAGTTAAACAATTAATCAAAATCTATAAGCCTGTTAGAAATCTGAATGCTCAGATTGATATGAAAATCCTATTAACCGATGAGTTGCCAGTATATCAACATCCAAGGCGCATGGCAGTATGTGACCAAAAGATAGTTGACGAGCAAATAAAAGAATGGTTAGCAGACGGAATTATAAAGCCGAGTACATCCAAATATGCTTCACGAGTCGTTTTGGCTACAAAAAAGAACGGAAAGAAACGGTTATGTTGCGATTACAGGAAGTTGAATGAGAAAGTGATAAGAGATAATTTTCCCTTGCCACAGATGGATTGTGTCTTGGAAAAGCTTCAGGGTGCATTAGTTTACTCAACATTGGATTTAACAAATGGATTTTTCCATGTGCCTGTCGAGGCAGGTTCCCAGAAATACACATCGTTCGTTACCATGAAGGGGCAGTTTGAGTTTCTGTTTGTACCTTTTGGTATATCAAACTCTCCAGCAGTTTTCACTAGATTTATAATGGCAGTCATGCGGGAGTTGATTGTAAATGGGGACGCGGTCATCTATATGGACGATATAATTATTCCCAGCAGAGACGTGTATGACGGACTCGTAAAACTTGAAAGAGTACTCGAAGTTGCAAGTAGAAAAGGTTTACGCATAAATTGGTCTAAGTGCCAGATATTGCAAAAGAAGGTGAACTTCTTGGGTTATATTGTGCAAGATGGCACCATAAAGCCAGGCGAAGAAAAAACTCAAGCGGTTGCTAATTTTCCAACACCGCACGATAAGAAGGCAGTTCAACGCTCTTTGGGGCTGACATCTTATTTTAGGAGATTTGTGGAAGGATATGCTGTAATGGCTAAGCCTCTGTCGGAAATTTTGCGAAAGGATGCCAAGTTTGAATTTAGAGAGTTGCAAAATGTTGCATTCCACCAATTAAAATCAGCATTAACTAGCGGTCCTGTGTTAAAGTTGTATGATGCCAGACTGGAAACGGAAATTCACACAGACGCGTGTAAATACGGTTTCGGGGGAGTGTTGCTCCAAAAGGATTCCGAAGATGGAGCTTTTCACCCTGTTCAGTACATGAGTCGGAAGACCACGGCCTGTGAAGAAAAGTATAGCTCTTACGAACTCGAAGTTCTTGCAGTAATGGGTGCCTTGATAAAGTGGCGAGTGTATGTATTGGGCATAAAGTTTAAAATAGTAACTGATTGCAACGCGTTCACTATGACACTCAAGAAAAAAGATGTTCCATTGCGTGTTGCAAGATGGGCAATGTATCTCCAAGATTTTGATTTTAAAATTGAGCATCGGTCAGGCTCCAAGATGCGACACGTGGACGCATTGAGTCGGGTATCGTGTTATGTATTGACTGATAGCGTAGCTCATCGTTTAAAGGAAGCTCAACTTTTAGATAATTGGACCAAGGTAATGAGAAGCATCGTTGAGGAAAAGGGATATGAGGACTTTTACATTGAATTCTTTTTAAAGATCCAAGTCGAGAGCTCATAGTCGTACCTAGCCAAATGGAAAATGAAATAATATTAATTGCTCATAAGCAAGGCCATTTCTCAGAAAAGAAAACACAAGATCTTGTAGAGAAAAACTATTATATTCCAAAGTTGAAAGAAAAGGTTTCTCGCATCGTAAACAGTTGCGTAGAGTGCATTGTAGTTAATGCAAAAGCTGGAAAAAGGGAAGGCTTTTTGGCACCAATAGACAAGAAGGATAAGCCTTTATCCACTTATCATATTGATCACGTAGGGCCTATGGAATTGACAAATAAACGCTATAACCACATCTTAGTGATCGTTGACGCATTTTCAAAATTCGTGTGGTTGTATCCGACACGCAGTACTGGGGCCGATGAAGTAATCAGTTGCTTAGAAAGGCAGGCTACCAATTTTGGAAACCCCTCTAGGATTGTGTCAGATAGGGGGACAGCATTTACATCACAAACGTTTAAAGAGTATTGCATGACACAAAAAATAATCCATTTATTAATTGCTACTGGAGTACCACGTGGTAATGGCCAGGTTGAAAGAATGCACAAGATTGTGGTGCCTATGCTTTCAAAGCTGAGTCTTGAATGTCCCGGAAGTTGGTACAAGCATTTGGGAAGAGTGCAGCAGGTTATTAATGACACACCACCAAGAAGTACAAAGTTTTCACCGTTTAGGCTTTTGACAGGTATTGAAATGCGCTTATCAGATGATAAAAAAATTAAAGAATTAATCAAGGAAGAGTTAATAGTGGAACTGGAACACGAGCGTAATAACATACGTGAACAGGCCCGTGAAAACATACAGAAGCTACAAAATGAGAATAAGAGACAGTATGATTCCGAAAGAAAGACTAGTCATGTATATAAAGTGAATGGTCTGGTGGCTATTAAGCGCACACAGTACGGAACAGGATTAAAACTAAAAGGAAAGTTTTTAGGTCCTTATAAAGTGGTTAAAGTAAAGAATCATGGCAGGTATGAGGTAGAGAAAGTCGGAATTGGAGAAGGACCCTGCAAAACATCGACTTTCAGAATATATGAAGCCTTGGTACCCCTTCGGGTCGAAGGGTACGTCAGGACAGCCGAATGTGGGAATCCAAGATGCGCCACAAATAGAGAGAGCAACAAGAAGTGGCCGACGCAACTAAATGTCGCTCTCATTTGTAGCTTTGCTCTCTTGCTATTGCATTTCACCATACTACTGGAAAGTTGCCAACAGAATCTCGTTTCGATCGCATCGTTGAACCATCGTCGTTTGTAAATTAAGTTAAGCCAATATATCCATTACCCACAACATTAACTATCGTCATTAAACGATATAATATAACCATAATATCATAAGCATATTGTCACCAATACAATAATAACTAAAGTGTCAAAGTGAATAACTTTCGATTACTACATTTTTAGTCCATTATTTTCGGCTAAATTCAAAACTCTACCAAGCTTTTCTAGTCCCTCTTGTTCATCAACAGCTGGTGTAATCATGTCATCCATATAGAGAACTAATGTTTCGTCATCAAGAAGTGGTCTCAGTACTGCAGAAATGTATCGCATGAACACAGCAGGGGAATTAGTTATTCCGAATGGAACGAAATTGAACTCGTACTGTCCGTTTTGTGTTATGAACGCTGTGAACTTGCGTGAACTCTCTTCGACCGGAACATGAAAAAATCCATTACACAAATCTAAGGTTGTAAAAACCTTGCCATTCTGAAGCCTATGTAACACATCGTCAACTATTTGTGGGAAAATTGTCGCGTATGATCTTCTGATTTAACTGCCGATAGTCACAGCATAGTCTCTTCTTCCCATCTTTTTTGGATACCAAGACAACAGGGGAGGCATATTCAGAATGATTCCGTCTTTTAACCACTCCTGTATTTGTCCCTTCACCTTTTCTTGGTCTTCATATGATAAACGTCTGGGTCTCTGATAAACAGGTATTTCGTCTTTAACTATGATCTTCATTTCAACTGGATATTTTACTTGATTCACCGGACTATAAATCTCAATTAATTTTAAAACGTCTGCTTTTATTTTACCTGTCAGGTGAGAAAGATTCATTTCTACTCCATTGTCCTCGCATAGAGTTGATGTCAACAGTTGATTGAAACTTGTTTGTAAGTCTGGTATCGATGTTTCTCTATCGAAAGGGAATGGGTATTGAGTAGAGCTATGGTGAGCTAAAACTTTCTGACTAAATTTCCCTTCTTCGAGCGGTTCCTCTTTTCTATGGAAAACTGCCCCATTGCTACTAATAGTCACGCTTACGAAATCAAATATGTCGCTGCCAATCACGCCACTATAAAGAGTATCACTGTCTCTAACAACATGCAAGCACATTGCAACCGGATTATCGTCTAACTCTGTATTGATTTGGAAAGATCCAAGAGTACATATCTTCTTATTTCCTATGTCTATCAACTCTTTAATCTCTGGCTTTAATGGCACTGGGTATAACTCCTTATATGCGCTCTCACTAATTGTGCAAATGACGCTGTCCGAATCGAATAATGCAGATATTGATTTGTTGCCAATGCGAACGTCCTTAAATACTTGATTAGATATTCTTTGATATGCTGCATCTTCCCGTTCTCCTTCTTTTCCTCAAGTTTAGATTCGCATTGATTTGCTTTATGTCCTGACTGATTACATTTAAAACACTTTATGTCTTTCTCTTTACAGTTTCTTGCAAGATGGTTTTTACCCCACACTTGTAACAACGAATGTCTTCTTTATCTTTCTTAGGCAATCCTTTCTCAAACTTGAATTTTTGCTTTGGCTCTGATTTAGTAGCAGTTTTCTCGTAAATAATCATTTTCTCGCGGAGCTCTTTTAAGTCGGTGGCCTGGTATAAAACGCTTTTGTTTTGTTTGGAGTCTGGAATCCCTTCAATTATATATTCCACCAGATTTTCTTCATCTAAACCAGATTTCTTTGCTATATTCTTCATGTGATAAAAATATTCAACTAGTGATTCATCCGATTTCTTCCTTCTACTCTCGAGTTGCTTGTGGATTTGCTTTGCGGTTAACTTTATTGTGAACTCATCTTTTAATGCTGCCTTCAATATATTCCAATTAGTTAAACCGTCCTGACAATTCACAAAAAGCTTCGCAGCCCCCTTTAACAATTGCCGCCCATAAATGAACTTTTGTAACTCGTTCCATTGTACTGTTACAGCAGTATTTTCAAAATCTGTCAGCCAGTCATTCACATCTTTTTGACCGCTACCATCAAATTCTGCCAAGGGTCTTGGATATCCTTAGGTGTAAAAGACATTATATTGGGTTCCTGTTGAATGCTGGTTTGAATTTCAGGCTGTATCTCGACTGTGTCTTCGTAAATTGAATCGTTTAACCCGTCAATTTCAAACTGAAAGATTAGCCTATTCTGTAACTCAACTTTCTTTCCCTTTTGTGATAACCCTAGCTCTTTAAGTTTTTCTTGCAAGCTCTTTACAGTAAGTTGTGTGATCTCTCGAAGTAACATTAGTAAAATCAATGAATTTGAAGTAATTTAAAATAGTGTTAGAATTCCTTAAAATAGTATTAGAAGTTTACAAATGATTTCAAAATATTCTTTTAATCAAATACTTTACGCTGGTAATTTCTTCCAGTGTTGTTGCTCAGCTGCCTCTGCTTCGACGCTGTGCCTCTGCTTTTATGCTCTGCCTCTACTTCGCCGCTCTACCTCTGCTTTGCAGCTCTGCCTCTGCCTCTGCTTTGCTGCTCTGCCTCTGCTTTGCTGCTCTGCCTTTGCTTTGCTGCTCTGCCTTTGCTTTGCTGCTCTGCCTCTACTTTGCCGATCGCCTATGTCTGCTACAAGCCAGTTGCCTCTGCCACCGGTCTGTTAACAACGTTGACTCGATTGGTGCTGTTAAGTAAGTTGACTTTGTTAACGTAGGACACTCTGTTGTCCTCGAAGTCTCTGTTCTGTTAACACTGCTGACTCTGTTAACACTGCTCTGTTAATGTAGGACACCCTGTTGTCCTCGACGTTACTAACAGATCGGTTGCCTCTGCCACCGTTCTGTTAACACTTTAACTCTGTTTTGCCTCGTTGCCTCCGTTATCTCTGATGCCTGTTGTCGTCGTCTCGTCGCGCATTCTCAAGGCCTCTAAATAATGCATCTTTGCAAAATTCGTCTCTGCTCTAGGCTTCAGCTTCTTTTGCAAGGGTGATGTTGTTGCTCGGTGTGCCGCAGTTGTTACCGTCTTGCTCTTTCTCATGCGCAAGTAGAAAATTTACCGTTTGTCAACGTCCTAATGCTCAGGAATGTAACCTTGAATCTCGCTCTGCTGTGTAAATTTTCGTGTGGAACCTTCACAATACTGCGCAGCTTAGTTTAATGTGGATAATTGCTTCAATATTATTGCATCAATAATTTGGTGAATAAAGTGCAATAATTTAATTTTACAATATCCCGGACGAGCCCCCAAAGTTGTAGGGGATATTATACTGATTATCCAAATTGGCCACTGTAGCTGCGGATAGAAAGTTTCTGGCGCCCGTTCTATTTTAATCAACACACACTTCGTATTATAATAGTATATAATATTGTAGTTTAAGCTTTATTGAAATAGTTTATAT